TACTGGATAGATGCACTTTAGAATTTCCACAAGTTGGGTTCAAGTCATTGAAAGGAGAACCTAGTTGGACCAGATGTAGCTCCCTTCACAATGGAAATTTGATTCTGAAGAGCATTCTTGAGAGCTTGTTCAGAGGTCCTAGCAGAGGAATGCAGCTACTCGTATACCCTTGACCGAAGACTGGTCCTTCTCTATCAGGGAAGGTCATCCTCTTTGACCGAGCCCACAGCTTTGGGAGGGATGCACATGGAGCATTGAGGGAGGAAGGGGACACCCACCTAGCCAGCCAGATCAACCGAATCAACCCTGGCAATCAATGGGGTGACAGATGTCACAGCCAGATCGCCCTCACATCCCTGAGGAGCATTCTTGAAAGTGGATGGGATAGTGGTGAACACTTGGCCACATGGGTGCTTATGAGAGCCTCCTCATGCTGCAAGTGAGGGGAGCCATGCCTTTGAGACCATCAGTATAGGTAAACTGTGGCCTCTACCATTGCCAGAGCAGTGACTCTGGCCCAGAGCTGGTTCCTGTGAAAGAGAAGGGCTTCCAAAACCTTTGCATAAAAATATGTTTTGTCCTGGATGTTTTCCCAGGATCCTTCTGCCTGACCATCTACGAGGATGAGCAGCCAGGCCCCACCCACACTCCTGGAGCTGGCACAGCAGAAGCTGCTAACAGAAGAGGCCTTGGTCATCTCTGCTCTGGAGTACCTGCCCAAGACGCTCTTCCCACCACTGCTCAAGGAGGCCTTCACCAGGACACAAACTGACATCCTGAGGACAACGGTTCAGGCTTGGCCCTTCCCGTCTTCCTCTTGGAGCTCTGATGAGGATTCCAGACATAAAGATCCTTCAGGCTGCACTAGACGGATTGGATCTGCTGATTAATGAGAAGGTTCTCCCCAGGTGAGCTAGACCTATGGATGATAAAATCTGGGTGACTGGGGTACAGTGCAGAGATATCTGGGATCAGGAAGAATGAGGTCAAATGTGAATCAGAGGCTTCCGATGGCATCATATTGGAGAACTGCAATATCCTTTACTACTTGAATTCTAATAGGAAACCGCAATAGGGTGTGGAGGCAGCTCAGAGCAGACATAGCCACTCTGTAATGAGAATGACCCTGCCTCTTCCACAGGTGGGAGATATGGGAACAGATCCAAGTCAAGAGTAACTGAATGAAGGGAAGCAATTCGGGTCTACAGATTGATGTAGCTCAGGAACAGAGCCCTTGCCTAGAATGCAGGAGGTCCTGCGTTTAATACTCGACACTGAAGAAAACTAATGTTTACATGACAGACAGCAGAGTGGGGAAAGGTTGACGTTCGAGATGTGGACTAAAAGCAGACAGTCTGGTCCTGTCCTACCTCCTCAGCCTTCTACCTGTTGTTCCCTCAGGAGGTGGAAACTTGCAGTGCTCGATTTGCGACATGTAGAACAGACCTTCTGGAGCAAGTGGGCTGAAAGGAAGGCTGTGAGGAAGAACAAACCAGTGAAGAACCTTCCTAGATACAAGTCTAGGAGGTGTTTCAAGGTGTTGGCTGACCTTTGCCTCAGTTTCCAACTTGATGAATGGGAAACAAAATTGTTGCAGTGGGCCCAGCAGAGAAGTTCCCTATAGTTGTGCTGTCAGAAGATAAGTATTTGGGGATTGCCTATTCACAGTGTCAGGGAGGTCTTGACAGTTTCCCAGCCACAGTATATCCAGGAGTTGGAACTATACACTGATGGCAATTTGTTCACCCTGGTACATTTTGCACTTTACAACCTGGGCGAGATAAGAAATCTTCACACACTCCGTTTTGAACATATGTACAGGAGTATCTTTCACACTGCAAATACTTCCATACACATAGAGAAGAAATTTGTCACCAAGTTCATTTCTCAGTTCTCCAAACTCAACTTTCTCCAGCATCTCTATATGAGTGGTGCCAACTTCCTCAGTGACCACATGAAGCAGTTCTTCCGGTAAGTCTACGTGGAGCGCTATTACTGCAGAACAGAGGAACCCTTTTTTATTTTTTCATGGAAGATTTGTGGGTACCTGATGACTCCAGCCAGTGTGGATGTTGCAGTGGTAGTCATTAGAAGGCCTAAGCATGGTCTTGCTTCCATTTTACTGAGTCAGGATCTCATATGATCAGTCGTATGAAGTTGAGGGCTGAACTGGGGTAGGAGATGTGTACAGAGCTACCATGCTTCTATAGAAGGCCAGCTGGGTGAGCCAGATCTAGTGAGGGTGGATTGTGATTTCCTCCTTGGAGTCCTGTCTAATCTAGTTGGAAGGGAACAGCAAAGGGAAGAGGCTGAATGAGGGAGGACTCACATCTGCATAGTTCCCCAGGTAAGCTCTGTGCTAATTAGCTGTGTGAACAGGCACCAATCTGCCTCTAATTCCCCACGTGTGAAAGGCTGTTTTGAGCCTAGGCACTGGTTGAGTGTTGAGTAATGAGTGACATTGGGATTGAGGGTGAGGAGCAGGGTGAAGACAGAGGCTGTGCTGAGGAAGTAGGACATCCATGTCGTCAGCAAGAGGTATCTCAAGATTGTGCCAGATCATTCATGGGATTTCTTTCCCGTGTGCCCTCTTGTGCTGATGTGGCCTGCACTGATAATCAGCTTGATAGTGAGGATTGAAACCTTCAGAGCTGTTCACTGAGCCAGTCCCATAGTGATGCTGACAGATCCCAGCCTTGAATGCTGTGACATAAATGCACAGACTCCAATGAACCGCATCCTGGGAGTTGATCTCCACGATAGAGTCAGATGTCCTTAATCCAATGGTCCCCTTTACCTCTATGTCAGCCCCACCACCACCAATCTCCAATACCATCTGCCTTGACTAACTTACTGTTCTCTCTCTAGGCTCCTGGAGTCCCCCTTGGAGACCCTCTCCATCAGTTTTTGCCAGTTTTCACAGTCGGATTGGAATTCCCTGTCATGGTGTCAGAGCCTCAGTCAGCTCAAGCACCTGAAGCTGAGAGATATTGAAGTAGTTGATTTATGTCCTGTGCCTCTCCAAGTTCTCCTAGAGAGAGTTTCAGGAACTCTGGAGACTCTGGAATTAGTGGGTTGTAGGCTGGGGTACTCTGACCTCAGTGCCCTCCTACCTGCCCTCAGCCAATGCTCCCATCTCACCACGATCAATTTCTATGACAATGACATCTCCATGGCCGTCCTGAAGGACCTTTTCCACCACACAGCCGATCTAAGCCAATTGACCCTGGAGCTGTACCCTGCCCCTCTGGAGTACTATGATGATGGGGGTCTTATACCAGAGAGGTTTTTTCAACATTGTCTTCAGCTCAGGAATATGCTCAGGGCCATAAGGCATCCCAAGATGGTCTCCTTTGCTACATATATCTGCTTTAAGTGTTTCTACCGCTGTGCCTATGACACGGAGGTGGAACTTTGTCATTGTTGGCAGTAAAGAAATGAAGGTTTCGCTGGGTGTGGTAGAGGCAGAGGTAGAGGCAGATGGATCTCTGTAAGTTGAAGGCTAGCCTGTTCTACATAGTGAGTTCCAGGTCAGCTGGGACTAGGGAGACCCTGTTTCAAAAGGCCAAAAAAAAAAAAAAAGAGGAAGGTTTCTTCTGGATACTGAAAGCCTGGGGACAGCTCTGTCATCAAGGGGATCTAGAGCTCATGGTGCAGAAACTGCACATGCATTGGAGACAAAATGGTGTGCGGTGGGTTCACATCACCTGGGCTGAAATTGATCACATTGGAGGGTGGAGTCAGAAAATCAATTCTGATTTTTTAAATATGGCTTCTGTCAGGCCAGGATAATGAGTGGCTTTCCCCTACAGAGCAATTGTGAAGAAATGGTCAGACCCAGGGAACATGGAAGCTCTCCCTCTGGTCCTCCTAGGTCATTAACCTGGTTTCCAATATCAGGGTCAGGAATGTCCTGTCACTGTACAGATGGGAGTAGTGTTGTCTGACATTTCATTGTACAAAACCACTGGACAGCAAAGAAAACCTGCAGCCTTTTGACACTGTCTTCCTCCCTTTCTCTGGCCTGGTCATCTGTTACATAGTATTTGTGTGTCTGCTAAATGGGTTATGTGCACAAAGTTATCAACCTTAACTGAGCCCTTCAGACCTCCTGTGAAGGAGGTTTTGAAGAATGGCAGGGGCTTGCATTCCAGGATACTTAGTCTAGGGGGCGCTGTGGGCATCAAAGACAGCTGAGGCAAAGGAGAAGACAACACAGAGCGAAGGGAATGGGATCCAAGTCACCTCGTTGCTCTCTTCTTTTTCTTCCTTTTTTCCCCCGCCTAGGCTGGCCTTGAACTACTCATTTTCTTCCCTCTGTCCTCTGTAGAGATTACTGACATGTACCACCACGCCCTGCTTGTAAGCCACTTGTCTGTAGATCCGTGCTCTTCAGGACTCCCAACCTCCAGCTGTTCTAGAGATCTACCTGTTCATAAAGATCTCCAGTAGATGGAGTTAAGGTCTTCTCCTGGCCTAAGGATTGACTGCACCTCAGGACTGGGTTATTACTGTCCAATGGTGATGTCTGTTTTCATTTTCTTGAGAGCCCCTAAGCCTCACCACGACACTGCCTTGTGTCTATATAATCAAGTAGCAATAAAATGATTTTCTGTCACACTCTTTGTTTTCTTCTTCATTGGCATGTTTATTTAAAATATAGGTGGGATGGACTGGAAAGATGAGTCAGCAGTTAAGAGCACTGGCTGTTCTTTTGAGAGGACTGGGGTTTATTTCTCTGTGGCTGCTAATAGCTGTCCAAGCCTCCAGTTCTGGAGGATCAGATACCCTCTTCTGGAGTCCACAGGCATTGCACACATGGGTACACTTATATACATGCAGCAAAACACTCATAGATATAAAATAGTTTTTTAATTCAAAAGCCTCAAAGGAGCCAATGTAGAGGCCTAGGGATCCAATGGGGATACCATCCAGTTCATGCTCAGGTGGCCCCCAAGGCTGGCATGTAGCCTAAGGTGGCATACAGGATGTTTTTGCTTGTCTGCTCATCAATGCATTTAAGACTGGTTTGAAGCTGCGTTTGGTGGCTCACTAGAGAGGCTGAGGCAGGAGGATTAAATGTTTGTGGCCAGCCGGAACTACAGAGAGTATAAAAGCCCATTAGGGCAATATAGCAAGACCCTACCTAAAAACAAAACAAACCATGTGAAAGCTGTGTGTGGTGGTGCAGGGCTGTAATCCCAACATTCCCAAATCTGTAGCAGGTAGATAAGTTATTAGCCAGGATACACATAGACTTCTAGGCCAGCCTGGGCTACATACAGTGTAAGAGCCTATTAAAAAACAACAAAAAATACGGGCTAGAGAGATGGCTCAGGAGTTAAGAGGGCATAGTGTCCTTACAGTGGACCAAGTTCTGTTTCCAGCACCCATATCCGGCAGCTCACAACTGCCTGTAACTCTAACTCCAGGTGATCTAACCACCTCTTTGGGCACTGCACTCATGTATACAACCCAAAACAGACACACACACACACACACACAGAACTAATTAAAAAAGACTGGATGGGTCAGCATTTTAGAGCACTTCCAGGACCAACTGGTAAATGTAGTATCAGAAGAAAACAGGTATCTATTTTAGATAAACTAGAAACTACTTAGGTATCATCTTTATTTTTTGTCTTTTTGAGACAGGGTCTCCCTGTAGCCCCAGCTGTCCTGGAACTCACTATGTAGACCAGGCTGGCCTTGAACTCACAGAGATCCACCTGCCTCTGCCTCCCAAGTGCTGGGATTAAAGGCGTGGGCCACCATGCCTGGCATCATCTTTAATTTTTAAGGTTCTCAAATATAATTTGAGAAAATTTTTTTTCCATCTTTTTTGAGATGGTCTCTCTGTAGGCCCAACTGGCCTGGAATTCACTATATAGACCAGGCTGGCCCTGAACTCGCAGGGATTCGCCAGCCACGGTAGTCCCAAGTGCTGGGACTAAAGGCATGCACTATCATGCCCGGCTGAAAAAAAATTAAATAAACCTTCATTGATGGTCCAACTTTTTCATTCCAACATTCAGCCATGTGAGGCAAGGGCTGGTGAGTTAGGGAAACATGTAAGCATGCTTGCTGCCAAATTGGACAAATTGAGGTAAGTCCCTGGTACCCATACCATAGAAGGCGAGAACAGACTCCCCCAAATTGTCATCTGCCGTCCACTTGTATATATCCCTTACATAGATAATCAATTAACTTATTAACTAAAATGATTGGTGAGGCATGCAGAATTCTGCAAGTGTGTAGACAGTGAGTACCATGTGGACTACATAGAGAGTTCTTGACCATCCTGCACTGCAGAAGGGAACCTGCCTCAGAGAAAAAAAGAAGGAAAGAAGGAGGGAAGGAGGGAGGGAGGGAGGGAGGGAAGGAAGGAAGGAAGGAAGGAAGGAAGGAAAAGAAGTTTTAAATTGACAAAATATTTGACAATTCAAGATGTTTCAACATTCTTTCATCTACTGGGAGGCTGAGAAGTTCCAGAAATTCGAGGTTCCCCTAGATGTGACACTTCATCTCAAAAAAATGCTAATTTAATATCAACCCAGGCATTGTGGTACACTCTGGCTATCCAGCACTCACAAGGTAGAGGCAGCAGAACTTGAAGGTCAAAGACGTGGCTACTCTTACAGAAAACCAGGGTTCGGTTCCCACCACCCACATGGTGGCTAACAATCATCAGTAGCTCTAGTTCAGGAGATCCGACACCTTCTTCTGAACTTCTCAGGCACTGTACAACATGGATGCACTTATGTACATGCAGGATTACACTCATACACATGAAAAGATAATAAAATAAGGTCAACCTTATTTTTAAAATAAATAGTAATATAATAATAAATAAAATTAAAAAATAAGGTCACCTGGGGCTGGAGAGCTGGCTCAGCAGTTAAGAGCACTGACTGCTCTTGCAGAGGACCGGGGTTCAATTCCCAGCACCCATATGGCGGCTACAACCC